GAGCATGCTGGGGGTTTATTTGAAAATATTGCCAGTGCTTTTTCAGTACTTTCTTGGGAAATGTCTATTATTTCATGTTGGAAAGCAGATATGACACAATTTTGAATTTATTTTCAAACTTGGCTATTTTGGTTCTACATACAGTGGTGTTTTTTTTTTTTCTTTTTTTTTTTTTTGCTGCTTGTTACGTTCAAAAATGTAGGTTCATAAAAGAGAAACTGAGTCGACACAGAAGAGGGATTTTTGGCTTCTGCAGAAGGAGAGAGCCACGTTCAGCTACATCTACTCTCTGACTGACTTCTTCTGCAAAGCCTTTTTATTAGCAGATCATAACACATGGGGTGGGTTACAAAATAGAGTGTTCTTCTGACAAGACAATTGATCAGGTCATAGGACAAAATGCTCCTCTGATTTAATCACAGAATAGAGTGGTCTCCTGATAACTGTAATTAGCCTTGCACAAACATCAGCAATTTTCTAGCACCGTTGCATGACAGTTTGCAGTAAACAGAGTGAAGCATCTCATTTCTCCAAAGTTCCATATGCACACACATTAACTTTATAATCATCATTGAATAAACCTGACACTGCTCCCCATGTATTTTTATTTAGCATTTACCTGATGAACTTCTGTTTTGCCTGCATTTAGGAGCAGGAAATTAAAACTCATCCCGGATTTGTCACCAAGACATGCCTGTAATCTATGTAACCGGTTAGCTTCATCAGAATTTATAGACAGATATAGCTAAGTATCATCAGCATAACAGTGTCTAATAATAAATCTACTGATTGGGTGCATACACAGTGCCTTGCTAAAGAATTTAGCCCCGTTGAACTCTTCAACCTTTTGCCACATTTCCGGCTTGAAATATAAAGATGTAAAATTGTATTTTTTTTGTGAAGAATCAACAATCGAGAAACAATCATAAAGTGGAACGAAATTTATTGGATATTTTACTTTTTTAACAAACAAAAAACTGAAAAGTGGGGCATACAACATTAATTGGCTGCTTTCCTTTCAGTGCAGCAATCTCTCCAGAAGTTCAGTGAGGATCTCTGAATGATTCAATGTTGACCTAAATGACTGACAAGCATTAATGAAAGCCATCTGTGTGGAATCAAGTCTCTGTATAAATGCACCTGCTCTGTGATCATCTCAGAGGTCAGTTCAAAGATCAGAGAGCATGTTGACGAGAAGTTTAAAGCTGGATTTTTAAAAACGATTTCCCAAGCTTTAAATATCCCACGGAGCACTGAGCAAGCGATAATATAGAAATGGAAGGAGTATCAGACCACTGCATATCTACAACAACAACAATCGGTCGTATACTGCACACTTTATGGAGGAAAGTCCTTTCCTAAAGATATCCATAAAAAGTCTGGTTTAAAGTTTCCCACAATTCAACCTGGGAAACAAAGCAAACAGGTGGAAGAAGGTGCTCTGGTCAGATTAAAAACAAAATCCAACTTTTTGGCAACAATGCAAAACGTTAGGAACTCTGAAAATAACCTGACGGACGATAAAAAGTTACAAAAAGAAGAGATTTACTGGCTTTGCAATTTGGATGAGGGAAACTGCTCCATCCCTTCCTGCACCTGATGCAGGCAAGAGAAAAAATGCTGCTGTCTTTTCCCCCATCATGCCTCTGCTAGTGATACCAAAAAGTGAAAATAATCACCCTTCCTACAGATGATATTGTCTCTGGGAAGAGCTTGGATAACAAACAGACAAAAACAGTCCACCAGTGTGTGTCCTGGACCAGCTAATCTTAAAAGCCAGGATGTTTTTCGTATCTTTTAAAAAAAAAAAAGGTGAAAAGGGGCTACAGTAAGTGTGAGGGACCGAGCCAGCCAAGCATGAGGACACAGTGGTGATTGTCAAGAAACTGGGTTTTATTTCCCCAAAGTAATAATAATCCAAACAAAGGTTTCAGGGCCCTTAAAAGAGGTCAAATGAAGAGACTAACTAAGGGCAAAAAATATCAAGCTCAAACATATCAAACCTCAAACTAACCGAACAACAAACATTGACCTGACACACAGCAAACAAAGGGGCCTAAATACTGGCTGAACCGACCAGACTGACACACTGAGGAAGAGGTAGGGGGAACATCTACACCAATTTAACAAAAAATAACTAAACCGTTAGCTTAAGGATTAAACTTAAATGGCAATCATTAAACAAATTAACAAAATGAGCAAATCACAAAAGCAAGAAGAAGAAATTATGCAACATATTTAAAATGTGGAATCCATGATCTTCCCCCATAGTGGAACTCCAGATGGTACGACCCAATCAGTCCATGATCATGTCAGCCACATTCTCCCAATTGATGGCGCTCCATGTGACCATCCCAGTAAGAGCTGAAAAAAGGTGCAAAAATTTCACACTGGATTTTTTTCATGGACAATAAACTGATTTAGCACACTCAAACTTAAAGGCACACTATGCAACATTTTTCAGTTAATTAATGTGTTCCATAACGTTTTGGATGATTAAATGAGTCATTTCAGGTCGAACAAAGGTTTTCTCGGCCGCCCAGGTGGTCTGTAGGGGAAATACCGTAGCCTGGTGAGACCATCCTGATCTCGCGAGCTTTCAAGGTTTCACTCACTAATCAGTCTGGAGACTCTCCGTTAAAGAAAATTTGGAGCCGTTCACCAAACGAACGTCCAATCAGCGTTGGCTTTGAGGCGGGTTGAGGTGTGACGCAACGAGAAGCGCAACAGTTCAGTCTGAAGAACATGGCGGCTTCAGCCGATGAAACTAGCGTTAGCGTGGCTATCGAGCAAGTTTTATCGGAATTACAGAGTATTTCTTCACTGAAAGAAGAGCAAAACACTGCTCTGGAGGCTTTTCTCAGAGGAAAAGATGTTTTTGCTCTTCTCCCGACTGGTTTCGGCAAGAGTAGCCTGGCTTTTGGTTGTATTTTCGTCGTCACTGTTAGTACTTCATATGCTTCGATGATCTGATTGGTTTATTTGGCCCGTCTATCACCAACATAGGCCAATCACCTAACCAGTATTTTCGCCCCTTCCCAAAATTACTTCAACGGAAGGTTTCCAGATGGATGTGCGGAGCAAATCCATCTGGCGGAGTCAGGTTAGAAATACCGTACTTGCAATTGCAGGAGCCCTCGGCCCGCACCAACAGGCTCAGAAGTCTCGTGCATCGCGAGAGTCGGTCTTGCTTTACGGCGAGAACTGCTACACACCCCCAGTGAGAGGCATGCTCGTTGCTAGCGCAGTGGCGATATTTGTGCAGTTATCATGGCGGAACCAGCGAGAAAACAGCGAAAGCCCATGTCGGAAACATGCTCAATTTTCAAACTCGAAAATTGGAACAAAATAGTCACTTACCGCAGTAGACATGGTGATTCGTTGCGTTCGCCTGTCTGCTAAGCTCAAAACAACCGCGCCTGGCTTGACGGAGAAACCAGGAGAACAGCTGAGCATATTTACGACAGTGCACTTTTACTTTTGCCCTCTGGGGGGAGTTGCTGGAAAATCAACACCGGTTGCATATTATACCTTTAAAACAGAATAAATCTAATGATAGCCGGATGTGGTCCGATTCTTTTGTAGTGCTGACCTGACCCATCGTCTGCAGCTTATCCAGGATCAGGGGCACCAGTCTCTGACGAGATGCCCAGATGTCCCTCCTCATAGACCCCTCCTTCAGCTTCTCCAGAGGGAGGTTAAAGGCACTCCGAAGGCGGCCAAAGGTCCCGGTTGTCTCCTGCGCCTTCCTCTGGTGGGACAGCGCTTGAACTCCTCCTGAGGGAGGCACCTATGGGGCATCTGTCGATGTGGAGGAGAGGTGGCTCTTCTCTAAGCCTCTCCTGGATGACCGAGCTCCTCACTCTATCTCCAAGGAAGGAATATTTCTGTATTAAAGGCTTTGTTGGACTCACCTGTGAGAGCCACATTGAGGACCAAAACAGGTCACACACTTAATCCCCGGACCAGCACCGAGTCTGTGTGCTGCTTTTTGAAGCTCTGAATCACTTGTTAACCACCTTTTTTCCTTCCACTCGACTTTCTGTTACCATCTGGATGCCACAGCTGAACAGAACATTCAGCTCCCTCATCTTTTTTTTTATTTAAAAATTATATTTTCACAGGAAATGCAGAAAACGTGGATTATACAGTGTCAGTATCAATGATTTATTTATTTTCAAAATATAATAACAAATTCACATTAACAATAAACTGCATCAGAAAAAAAGAAACCCTTCCAGTCATTGTATTTCTTCAGTAAAACTCATACATTCCCTCCATTTTCCTCAAGTACCGATGTTTTTACTACTCATGTAAAGGAAATATTTTTGTTCTTGCTATTTTTGGCGAGTATGGGTGTGGGCAGGTGTTGACAGGTGTTAAAGTGGAAGCTGGTTTAGGCCAGGGTTTAGCCTGACTGTCTGTTGATCTAAAACTTTTGCATTGAAACCTTCTTCACCCCAGATTTCATTAAACACACCCTGATCCTACCATGTAAGTCTGGATTTTTCATTTTTATCAGCACTTGAGGTTAAGCTGAAGCTAAGGCTCAGGTTGCTCCATTTAAACAAACATTTAGCTTCTCTATGACATGAATCAGACTTTACAAAAACATTATAAATGTAGAATTCAGAGACTCAATAAAATGTAGAAAAATAACCTGTGTATTTATTTCATGTTCTTGTATTTACTAACAAACAAAAGGCTCAGATCTTCATTCGGACTCACCAAACATAACGTTCTTCATTGATTTAAATGGCACAGATAGAGAAACCTTCAACAAGTGAGAAAAAGAACGACAGAAACAAACTGTCAGAGAGAAAGGATGAATCAGACACTCCGGTAGTCCGGATCAGTCTCTGTTCTGATCAACCAGGATTATTTTACAGGAATGTACAGTAAACCCCTCAAGCCGAGGGGGGGGGTCCCTGAGTAAAACTCCACAAATAAAGTAAACATTTGATGAATATCTTCCATCCAGCAGATGAAGTCAAATCAAATCTGGTTTTCCTCAGGTCGTATCTCAGTCCTCCTCAGTCAGAGAGCTCATCAGGCAGATGTACGGCTGCGATGTCGACCTCATGCAGGGCAAATAAGGCTTTTCAACCTAAAGAACAACAAGGAAGATAAAAACAAAAGCCAAAATATTAGATTTATGTTTGTTATTTAATTAAGTTTAAGCACAAAATCCAACAGAAAATCAGAAGGATTGCTTTACAGTGAGGGCGACAGCGGCGTCAGATGTAGGAGTTTGCCCTGCAATTGGAGGATTGACGGTTCAAGCCCCGGCTCCGGCTTTCAGCAAGGCACTTCACCTGCATTGTCTACTGATGGTGGTCAGAGGGCCCGGTGGCGCCAGTGTATGGCAGCCTCGCTTCTGTCAGTGAGCCCCGGGGCAACTGTGGCTACAATGTAGCTTGCCACCATGATTGTGTGTCAATTGGGTGAAAGACTGAATGTAGCTTTGGTCAATTCTCCTGACTTGACGTAACATAAACAATTATTAATTAGTCACTGGAGGCAGAGGAGTAGATGGACACGTCCTAATTAACACCTGTTAGGTTTATTCTTGTTGGTGAATGTGAGTCTGTCAAACCTGCCTGTTGTGCATCAGAACTAATGTTTTCCCAAGTAGTTTATCTAATTAGTTCCTCTGTTCGACTATACAGTTATTCCGTAAAAATTAAAAAAATATCCTCTGGACTTGGTTTCCAGGATTTGAAGACGTTTCGCCACCTCTCCAGGAAGTTTTCTCAATTCAAACGTCTGGATCCGCAGTGAGTTTGAGTCTTATATAGACAGAGCCTTGTATCGCTTGGAAACATGCAAATGGTAACCGATGATTGGGTCGTTTGGTTCCATCGTTAGACTGTAATATCTGAAACCTGCCTATGCTTCTTTAACTTTGAATCAGGCCCACGTCCCGAGAAGTGAGCCTGGTTAGAAAGCAACTGCCTTTTGTAACTCTAAGCAACTTCTCTGAACTGATTAAGATTACAATTTATGTAAAAATCTGTTGTCATGTCTCCTGGTTATCTAATACATCTAAAACATTATGAAGTGTTATTTAAGGAGTTTGTCCAGAGTGATCTCTTTTAAGGTAAAGAACCGGAGAGAGAAAGCTCCAAGGTGGAAACACAGAGCTTTCATTAACACCCTGATACTAGTCTCAGCTGTGGCTTTACTCAGTTGGAGTCATTGGTACGACCAGCAGGCGGCGCCACGTCAGTTTATTGACTGTTTGTGTTTATTGATCTAACAGTGGAGAAATCTACTCGTTACATCAGCTAAAAATAGTCAAAGGAGAAGAAGAAGGTGCCAAAGAAAGAAAACCGTGCATGGGATATATACAGTATATACACTGTTTCCACATTTTTTTAATAGTAGGATTATTATGCAGGGTTATTGCACGGGGTGTTTGGTTCTTCACATCAAAATCACTATTAGGATGGACAGTTAGTGCATATAGCCTTGTTTTATTAGATCCATTGGTTTCTGGTCTTTTCTGTATAGGTATAAGACTAAGCCCCCCATTACTGGAGAACCCTCCAATGAGGCTGAATCAAAACATTTCTGCAAAGCAGAGGGGAAATAAATCCCTCGCTTATAATGTTATTTCCAGTCAAAACAAACTCTTGATACGAGCAGTTGTTGCTTCGGGCGGCACGACCAGCAGTTCCCTTTTCCTGACTGCTTTGGACGCTATTTCCCCTGAAGTGAGGAATAACCTGATATTTACATTTCTCTGATTGGCTGAATCCAACAGTGAAATTAGTTCGAAACATTTAACTGTGACGCTCTAGTTAGACTGTAAACGGTTTACATTCCACCTGTTGGGCTCTATTTGTTATTCGGTCTGATTACAATCAGGCTGAAATGGTTAGTCTAGTATAGGAAGATGCCATTATGAACATTTATTTATCTATTTATGGCATTAAAGGCAGGATTGATTAGGCTGGCATTCTAATCATTTCACCAACAGCTGATTCTCTTCCTGCCACATGAGTTCTTCTTATTTGAAATAAAAACACCCATTATTTTGATTTCCAACAAGGTTTTCTTTGTGTGAACTGACCTGCTTAGGTGTCGCCTCAGTAATTCCAAGCTCACCTTGCTCCTGAAGAATACCCGAGCCACGACGAGGATCGCCACAAGAGTAAAACCCCCAAACAGGCCGAGGACCAGCGACACTGAGGGTGAAGCACAAGGCAAGTCAGATTCCTCGGACACGCTCCTGAAGGCAGCCTTCTCAGGCTGCACAAACCAGACGTTTAACACACAGAGGCAGTGTAGAGCTGCAGTCTAACACTGATGAGGGGGAAATCAGAGGGCTTACACATATGTTTGGGTGGAGGAGGACTGGTGAAGGCGCAGTGGAGCTCACTGGAGATGCTGCTGCGGTTGATGAAGGACCTGAAGGAGGCGAAGACGCAGTATTCCACGCCCGGCTGCAGATACGAGATCACGGTTTTCTGTTTGTAGGGAACCTCCATTTTGAACTGAAATATAGAGCAGAAGCCAGGAAATGTTAGCTGGAGACGGAGAAGAGCCTCTGATTTCAGAGCCGCAGGACTTCAGGAGCATTCAGCCGATGAGAGGAGGAATCGGGTTTTTGAGTAAAAAAAATGAACCACACCAAATATTGCAACAACAGTCAAACTCTTCAAGATCACACGGCCGTTCCAAACGTTGCATTTTTGAATTCTCCCGAGTGGTGCCCAATTTTACACGAGAGAATAAAGTGAATGTGATTGGTTGTTTATCAAGGGGGCGGGGTTGTTGTGACGGAAGGTTCGCAAGCACGTTTGGTTATGGCCGGTTTGTCGGAAGCATCTTGCTAACCAGTTAGCAACTTAGCACTAATAGGTTCCCAATGGAATGTCCCATTGGGAACCTACTAGTGCTAAGTTGCTAACCAGTTAGCAACTTAGTGCTAGCAGGTTCCCAATGGGAAATTCCATTGGGACCAAGTAGCACTAAATTGGTGACTTAGAAACGACGCTGTCAAGGAACGCTATGGACAGCGGAAACATGCAAGAGGAGGAGAGTTTAGTGTCGGAGGTCGTGGATGAGTCTCCTCCGTCATCCATTTTTTATTTAGAGGAGGAAAGCGGGGACGAAGATGTTGTGGAAGAGGACGCCAGGGCGGCAGAAGCTTGGTTTGGTGTAGAAGGCTTCCAGCCGTACATGTTTGAGCCCTTGCCTCGCAACGCTGCCAGTTCTGTTAGCTCTACGCCTGCCGAAGACACAGACGTCCATCCCCGTGAACACTGGGACGCAACTCAATGGGAAAGGAAAGGATTCTGATTTCAACTGGTGCGTATATTAGCTGCGACATATGAATCAAGATTTTATGAGCGAAAAATTCAGATTGACAGATGACCATTGATATATGATTGGCCGAATTTAGGTGTTCAGGCTGACGTAGAACTAACTGGCCTGCAGAACGACACCGATTTTAAGACAGGATTTTTTTTTTTATTCTACATTTTGGGACAATATAGTCTGATAAAGAGTACATTTATGAACATGTTTAAGATAGAATGATTTGACCTTTAAATATGATTTCCCGACAACTTTAACTTCAGCACACCATGAGACCATTTTTTTCTCTTTTCCCATATATTGAAGAAAAAAAAAACTATAAAAAAAAAAAATTCCCAGATTCAGAGAATACAGAACCACTTGTTGCCATGGTGATCCCCCTCCCCCAAGGGCAAAGAGACATCGCATAATACTTGAGCAGACGGAGACAGTGAGAAAACACGCCTTGAACCATAACTGGGAGAAATGTTAGCTGGATCAAAACTTCTCTGTTTTTTCTTCTGTGTTTTAAGAAGGACAGTCGAGATCTGGAGCAAAGCTTTTTAAGGAAAACAAAGGCGGGCAAAAGAAGGGCGGGTCTCTGTGACGAAGAGGCTGCCTTTTTAATGTAAAAACAAAAAATTGGAGACTGAGCTGTGGGAATAAGAGGAAATTAGAAAGAAAAAGGTCAGAAAGTCAATGATGTCTGACGTCGCTCTCAGAATAACACTGTGAGGAAATCTCCAAATAAAACTTTGAATGTTAAAAAGGTTTAAGTGTCAGAATGCAGTCGCATTAGAGTCCAACTTTATGAAACTGATTTTAACTCAGTGTTTCAGTCGAGAGTTCAGTCTGAGCTACAGAGTTACAGAAAACATCTAAAGCAATAAAATTATAATTAATTAAAAAAATTAAAACACAATACAGCATTAAGAAACCTACAACACTGGTACAGATGAAATAACATCAATGCATATTGGGTTATGTTAAAGGAAAAGTTTGCTCATATTCAGAATCAAACTTCTGAAAGTTCTTTAAATATGAAATTATTACATACTGTTCAATTAATTATAAGTATTTTTAATTAAGAGTAATTTTTATTTGAATGTGCTTTACTGGAGGCATCCATGTTTGTCAAAGAACACTACTGCCACCTACTGGTTTGTGACGTCACGGTGCGGTATCGGCTGTTGATCAAGTCCCAGTGCTGTATCTGGTGTTTGTCACAACGCGCTATTATCCAAGTCATCTTGAAAACATTCTTCTTCCAAATGTTGGCTACATATTACGTGTTTTTTCTCTGGCCAGAAGTTCGATGGCAAATCCTCCCTCTTCAAGTTGGCGATCCAACGACCAACCCGTCCGTGGAGGATCAGGAATCAGAAAGGTGGAATAACTCTTTTTTTCCACTTTTACCCGATGTATTCCAGCATCCAGCTGCCATGCACGTGGGCATTGTCAGTTTCACTATAGCTCTGGTGAATTTCAATGGTGAAGTCCTCTGGAAATCTTCAATAATTGTTGTTGATTGCAGATGTGTCTAGTAGTTCCCATTGATTTAGCTTGTAAAGCGGGGAGAATGGCGCTAGGCTTACCGCACCGTGACGTCACTGCTGGAAGATGGCAGGAGGGAGGGGCTACTATATTTGGGCAAAAATGGCCGCTCCCAGACTCACGACGAAAATTATTATTATTATTTTTTTTTTGTGATTAAAGGTAAATTCATCAAATCACCGCGGACGTATTAGTTTTAGGTATAAATAATGACCCATTGATTATTCCTTGCTGACCGGACTTTTCCTTTAAATATATGAAGGTGGAGAGCTGCATAGGGAACCCGCTGGGGAAGGCCCCATACCCTCTGAGCCTCCACTCTCAACTGGGAACCATTTAGAGCAACTGGTCAGCTGACCTGAGAGACAAGATTATTTAAAATACACTCACCGGCCACTTTATTAGGTACCCCATGCTAGTAACGGGTTGGACCCCCTTTTGCCTTCAGTACTGCCTCAATTCTTCGTGGCATAGATTCAACAAGGTGCTGGAAGCATTCCTCAGGGAGTTTGGTCCATATTGACATGATGGCATCACACAGTTGCCGCAGATTTGTCGGCTGCACATCCATGATGCGAATCTCCCGTTCCACCACATCCCAAAGATGCTCTATTGGATTGAGATCTGGTGACTGTGGAGGCCATTTGAGTACAGTGAACTCATTGTCATGTTCAAGAAACCAGTCTGAGATGATTCCAGCTTTATGACATGGCGCATTATCCTGCCATCAGAAGTTGGGTACATTGTGGTCATAAAGGGATGGACATGGTCAGCAACAATACTCAGGTAGGCTGTGGCGTTGCAACAATGCTCAATTGGTACCAAGGGGCCCAAAGAGTGCCAAGAAAATATCCCCCACACCATGACACCACCACCACCAGCCTGAACCGTTGATACAAGGCAGGATGGATCCATGCTTTCATGTTGTAGACGCCAAATTCTGACCCTACCATCCGAATGTCGCAGCAGAAATCGAGACTCATCAGACCAGGCAACGTTTTTCCAATCTTCTATTGTCCAATTTCGATGAGCTTGTGCAAATTGTAGCTTCAGTTTTCTGTTCTTAGCTGAAAGGAGTGGCACCCGGTGTGGTCTTCTGCTGCTGTAGCCCATCTGCCTCAAAGTTGGACGTACTGTGCGTTCAGAGATGCTCTTCTGCCCACCTTGGTTGTAACGGGTGGTTATTTGAGTCACTGTTGCCCTTCTATCAGCTCGAACCAGTCTGGCCATTCTCCTCTGACCTCTGGCATCAACAAGGCATTTCCGCCCACAGAACTGCCGCTCACTGGATATTTTTTCTTTTTCGGACCATTCTCTGTAAACCCTAGCGATGGTTGTGAGTGAAAATCCCAGTAGATCAGCAGTTTATGAAATACTCAGACCAGCCCTTCTGGCACCAACAATCATGCCACGTTCAAAGTCACTCAAATCACCTTTCTTCCCCATACTGATGCTCGCTTTGAACTGCAGGAGATTGTCTTGACCATATCAACATGCCTAAATGCACCAAGTTGCCGCCATGTGATTGGCTGCTTAGAAATTAAGTGTTAACGAGCAGTTGGACAGGTGTACCTAATAAAGTGGCCGGTGAGTGTACATCTACTATAATATCCTGGGAGTCAATGAAGAGAAACAACTTCACTGCTCCTTATACTTATTATTCTTACCGTGGGTCTGACCTACATCACCGGTAGCTCCGGATCAACCTGGGGGATCTGAGATCTTCCAATAGGCCCGAAACCAAGGATTTAATCTTTAAAATGTAAGGAATTTTATGGCCATCCCAGCCACAATCTCCACAAGACACTAAGAAGTTTATGGGTGGAAATGCAATAGAAGGAGCTTTCTGAACGTAGACCCTGGAGGAAGGAGGTACTGGGAAATAAGCAAAGTCCCTAAAATGAAGTCCGAGGGGATCCCAAAGGAGAGCGGAACAGAAAAGGATTAACGCCCTGAAAACTTTCTGTCATAAAGGACTGAAGTCCTAAGCAGCCTTTCACTGAAATCACATTATGAAGAAATATGGCAACATGTTTATTACATTATTATACCACAATCTGTTATAGTTTTTTTTTTCAAAATGTCCATCTTTAAAAACATGTTTCATGTAATTTCCGTGAAATATTTGGAATTACAAGAAAACGCCGCAGCGCATCATTTCCTGCAGCACAGCGGCGCGCAGGAAACGAGAGGCCCAGCAGGGAGCCCAGCAGCGAGCTGGAGGCTGAAACTGGAAGTTCAGTTTCAGTTTATTTAGCGAGGAAACTGTGGTTTTTAAAATTTCAAACCTCTGCTGTCATCAATTATCAGGTCATTGGATCTGATCCAAACACGCTTTCTTCTCATCGCCCGTTTCCAGGATCAATTCTTTTGATTGTTTTAAACATGAATTCTCTGAAGATCTAAGTTTATTTATTGTGTTTCAGATCATCTACTGAAAACTTAGAAAACGCCTCTGTTACTTTTTATTCTTTTGTTTCATTTTTTATTTTCTGCTATTTTATTGTCTTAATTTAGTAAAAATCTGCAGCACTGGAATCAAAATTCACTGGATTTTCCACTGTAGAGCTTTAATGCTGATTAAACTCATCCCCAGTAGGTCTGATATGAGTTTAATACCAAATAAAAACGATACGACGATATGAGGACTAAAACACCCTCAGAGGATAACAACCAAAAACCAGACAGTGTTGCTCAGACAGAACGACATGACAACCAGGAAACTAATAATAAAACTAAATAATCAGTGAGAAACGATGACCCGAAACAAACTAGAATTAATGGACTTCCACCAGTTTTAGGGTTTATAACATGAAAGGAGACAAAAACCGATTAGGGCTAAAAACAATTAATCAGATTAATCATGATTAATCGATTATTAAATAATCAAGTAATTTAGTTAGCGATTAATCATTAACTGGATAAAAAAACATGCCTTTAGCTGAAAGAGTGACACACTTAGATCAGTAATTATACCAAGATTATTAAAAACAGCTAACATTTTGCATTTAAGATAAAAAAACAAAAAACACTTTCGTCTGTCAATATTCTTTATCCAGAAAATCAACTGGAAAAGTTTTATTTTTACCTGTTTTGATTTTTCAAAAAGTCTTATTTAAGTAACCTTTTTCTATCCAAATATTAATCGAATTATCGAAAAAATAATCATTAGTTGCAGCCCTAAAAAGGCAGTGCTAACATGAGGCTGACCTAACATGAGGCTGCGCTAACATGGGGCTGACCTAACATGAGGCTGCGCTAACATGAGGCTGCGCTAACATGACGCAGGGCTAACATGAGGCTGACCTAACATGAAGCAGTGCTAACATGAGGCTGACCTAACATGAAGCAGTGCTAACATGGGGCTGACCTAACATGACGCAGTGCTAACATGAGGCTGACCTAACATGAAGCAGTGCTAACATGGGGCTGACCTAACATGAGGCTGCGCTAACATGAGGCTGCGCTAACATGACGCAGGGCTAACATGAGGCTGACCTAACATGAGGCTGACCTAACATGAGGCTGCGCTAACATGAAGCAATGCTAACATGGGGCTGACCTAACATGAGGCAGGGCTAACATGGGGCTGAGCTAACATGAAGCAGTGCTAACATGGGGCTGACCTAACATGAGGCTGCGCTAACATGAGGCTGCGCTAACATGAGGCAGGGCTTACATGAGGCTGCGCTAACACGAGGCTGAGCTAACACTAGGCTGCGCTAACATGAAGCAGTGCTAACATGGGGCTGCGTTAACATGAGGCTGTGCTAACATGAGGCTGTGCTAACATGAGGCCGTGCTAACATGAGGCAGGGCTAACATGGCGCTGACCTAACATGAGGCAGGCCTCAGCAGATGGCCGCTCACACTGAGCCTGGTTCTGCTGGAGGTTTCTTCCTGTTAAAAGAGAGTTTTTCCTCTCCACTGTCACTACAAGCATGCTTAGTGCGAGGGATTGCTGAAAAGTCAATGAGTCGATGCAATCAGCTGGTTTTCCTTAGATAGAAACTTTGAATCAATCTGACTGGATGATCTGGTGAACTGGAAAGTGCCTTGAGATGACGCGATGTAAATTGGCACTATAGAAATAAACTGAATTTAATTGTTGTAACTTTACAATACCCATACTGTCAACATTGGTTTCACTGTACAGTATGTTTAAGTGTTGAAGGATTTAATAAAGAGTGAAAATGTGAAATAAAAAGAAAAGAAATAAAAACAGACTCTGACCTCAGCTCCGTCTCTGTTTCTTTTCACATTTATTTCCAGCTTCCAGTCCAAGTCCTTCAGCTGCGGGTTGTGATTAAACAGAATCCTGGTGGCGTCTCGGATCTGCAGGATCAAACAATTCCCGCAGCCTGACACCGAAAATTCAGGAGGTCCCAAAACAGCTGTTTAAAGGACAGAAGGAAAGAGATCAGGGTGGGAAGGAAGGGAGATCCTCAGAGAGGCGGTCATCTGTTAATACAGTAAAAAATGAGATCTAAGCTGCGCTTCTCAGTCGCTATCTAATAAAAATATATAAAATAAAATAGATCTTAAAAATATTGTTATTCTGCTTAGTTTTATTCTATCTTTAAACTGTTTGACATCAGATAATCTAGATCTATTTATTTAATGAATTAAATAAACTAAGTTGAATTAAAAAAATATTGGATACAATTAGATTCAAATCTGACAATAAATATAATAAATCAAATTTCACATTAAAATGCAAAGTATTTAGTTAGTTTTGTTTGTGTTGAGTATCTCAAAAAATATTTAAATTTTTTTATAAAATAGGTGAAAAATACAAGTGTTGAAGGTGTTGAATTAGGAAGCAACCAAATCTTGTAATTAGGGATGCACGATATAATCGGCCCCCTATCGGTATCGGCCTTAAAACTGAATATCGGACATCGGCCACCCCACCGATATTTAACCCGATATTTGATCAGCTTCCGAGTTTCTAAAGTCTAAAAAAAAAAAAAATACTTCTTCTTTTTTTTCCTCAAAAACTTCTTTTTTACAGACTTAAAAACTTCTAAAGACGAGGGAAAAAATATTGATCCATTAAAATATCCCAATATCTTCATATGCTGATATATTGCCATTTAAAAACACCATATCAATCTCTTTTACTAATGAAATATTGCTATATGTCATCGTTATGCTACGAAATCCCCCGAAAATTCACGACATTTTGCCATATTTTTATATGTTGATATATTGACACGGTATCGATCTATTTTACTAACAAAATCTCACAAGAATTTGCAAAATATCACGAGTTTGTAACAGAACGATGAAATTTCACGAGATTTTAAAAGTAAAATAGATCGATATCGCGTTTTTAAAAATCTATTTGATATCAGCATATGAAAATATATTTGAGTATATTATTTTTCAAAGTGTCAGAAATGGATAACAAAACTGCTATTTTCAATGACTACTTATTTTTGTCCAGCTTTAACATCGGTATCGATATCGGTTATCGGCTACATGAGTTTTAAAATATCGGATATCGGCCAAAATCCCAATATCGTGCATCCCTAGTTGTAATAACTATTTATTCATTAAGAAAAGAAGCACATTCTTGGATAATTAGCCTGAAAACAGCTTTTAGGATTTACAAATAAACTCTCATTTAATAAAGGTGACCTACCACGCACCACAGGACTGTCTGGTTGGTAATAAACGTCTTAAATTGGACTCAAATAATAAATGTTTTCTTTCAGATACTCTAAAAATTACATTATATGCAGATGACAGCATAATAACCTACTTCAATAAAATTCCCCAAAAGCTAAAAAACAACCCACTGGACTTTGTTTCTAAGTTTAAAGATGTTTCTCTTCCATCCAGGAAGCTTTTTCAATTCAAAATGTCAGAAATAGCGTTGAGTTCCAGGTTTTATAGAGTGAACCAAAAACAAAGCCTTGTTTTGGTTTAGAAAATATGCTAATTGAACCGGATGATGTCTGTTTTAATTCCTGGATGGGAAGCGGAATGTCGTCCAGAGGATTGTTTTTCAACTTTTTTTAAATTACTATAACCTGGATTACTGAGAATCTTCACCTGCATGCTTCAATAAAAGTATGAAACAGCTTGTAAGTATGTTTAAAAAAGGGAACTAATAAAATAAAAACACAAACTTTAATAATATGCCACACAGCTTCCTACACTGCAAGAACGATCTAGAAAGAAGAGAGAAATTCTTAAAATAAGTGTATTTAGCCTTCATTTGAGTAGGTAAATTAGATGATTTGCAATTGGAATAAGTATTTTTACTCTTCAAATAAGAAAATTAGATATTATTTACTTGAAATAAGACAATGCAATTACTTTTTCTTATTTCAAATGTAAATTGTCTTGTTCTATTGGCAAAGTGTCTCACTTACCTCCTCAATTCAAGAAAAATGCACTTATTTTAAGAAAAATTGACTTATTGAGATTTCATTTTTTTGCAGTGTAACGGTCCCATCTATAATGAATTAATTAATCAATCTGACTGGATGATCTGGTTGAACTTCAAAGCGCCTTGAGATGACGTGTTGTGAATTGGCGCTATAGAAATAAACTGAATAGAATTGAATCTATGGCTCATAGAGCAGAATATGCTGGAAATATGCTGTAAAAAACATAAAAGATTCAGATTACTGTGACTCAAATAAATAAAATATTCACTAAAGGGAATGACTTCAAATTTACCCTGATGACAAACTTTTGTCTACTTTCATGCTTTTTTCAGTAGAATTAATTTATAGTTTATAAAATGGTTGCATTAATTAAATAAAGACAAATATAAAATATTGGAAATGAAGCCATGGGACCAAAAGCAGATGATAAATAAGAATTATATATATTTTTAATATTAAGTCCATGTTTTCTGTTGTTTTTTTTTTATAAAATAAGATCATTAATGCTACAGTCTGTAAAATAGTGTAGCTTCTATAATCTTCTGTTTCTGCTTTCATTCTATCAGCTTTAATGATTTTAATTCTTATTTAACTTAAATATAGAGTCACTTTTATTCACCAAGTTGTTTCGTACAGAAAGGGGTTTGACTTGTGATCCAGTTTGCTCCCAATAAAGACGTTTCATGTGCAAACATAAGGAAAGATAAATAGAAATATTTCTTCTGTAATCTGGATTATAAGCATTTTCTGCTAAAGAGGAAGATGTGGTCAGATTGGTGGAAATAATCTGGATTTGGTTCCTCTGACGGATAAAAGCGTCAGAGAGACAGAATGAGGGGGAAAAGGTCTAAACAGTTCATGTCCAGGGTGTGTGGGATCTGCACAGAAGCTAGCTGCCTTTTTCCTGACCCATAATCCTGGATTGAGGGAAGTTAATCTGGACGATTCTTCCTTCAGACCAGATTATTGTTTCTATTGTTTTGTTGTTCTCTGTGTTTGGTTTAAACCCTTCGTGTCTCCATATGATGTTCTGTTCGTGTTGTTTGTCCCTCACTGTCTGCCAGAGGCTGGAACTCCCTGCTTCTGGTCCAATTGGAGGTCTGGTTGGTTCTGACGGCCCGGACTCGGGCCATGTACTGGTCAAACACGTCCATCAACCCGTCGGTTAAATTGCACGTCTGCCCGGCCATCAGCTGCTCGCACCCGACCACAGCTTTCCACCGCCGCGTCCTGCTGGGCGAAAGCAAAGGCGGTCAGACCGGAGGCAGGACCAGCGTGTCACGCCACACAGTTCAATGTTTCATGGAAGCCGAGTCTGACGCAGGAAACTCGCTGCTTTCTGAAACTTTCACAATCAGTCAGAAAGACGAGCGCTCAGCCAGAGCGACCTCCAGAAACAAAAATGAAACTTAGAGGCTCCTCAGTGGAGAAACAATGGAGCGATCAGCCGTTCATCATCAGCTGCTGCCTCAGTGGCGTCCAATTAAACATCTGATTATTTACATAAAAATCTATTCTTTTTATTTAAACATCAGTCATGTTTAAACAGCAGCTTTAGTCACTAACAGGAAATAGTTTTTATTTCTCCAGTTTATCCAACATCTAAAGAAAGAAGTTTAATATATAACCATATATAACACCATTTCCTGTCCTCAGAGATCTAATTACATGTTTTTATTTGATTGTCCTCCATTTATTGGTTCCCTCACTGGTCATAAAGAAACTCAGACGTCTCAGAATAAGGGTTTAAATTAGGATATCTAACAAATAAAGACAGTATTTCTGATTTTATCAGGAATACTGTACCAGATCTTCCTTTTTGTCCAAAATTGCAGGAATTAGAAAAGTTTCTGTTTTGTTAGACCAGACTAGAATCACCATAAAACAAGTTTAAAACTTTTAAAAAAAAGCATAAATTAAAGCAGCAGCTGTTTAACCGCTGGGAGGATCTAAGCTGCCACATCAAACAGCTGTAGAGGCGATAGACGCCTTTCTGAGGCCGAATGAGGAACCTCACACGCCCTGATGATGGGATGAGACCAGTAACAGGTTCATAAACACATGAGCTGGACATTTAAAGACCCTTAACCCCCACGATGCTCCCGGGGCGCCGCACAATGGCGGCCCACTGCTCCCCAAGGGGATGGGTTAAAGGCAGAGAGGGAATTATTAGTGTTTCTTGTGACAGTGGAATGACAATAAAAAAAGCTGGAAATGGACTCAGCTGCTCTTAGGAAATGGGACCAAATCATCGTTTCTGAATCGAACCAGTTGATTTAAAATGGCGCCCATGTTGTCCGTCTTTAAAATGATCCACTTTTTGTTTTTTTAAAACTGTTCTTCCAAACCAAAGCGGGTCAGTCAGAGTTATGGAAACCCCCTGTGATGCAGCCACAGGTTGCAACAAGATAAACCTCAAATAAAAACACCTGGTTAAACAAGAGGCTTCTTAAAAATACGTTGATCCGTCCTGTTTCTCTCTTTCTTTCTTTCTTTACTGTCTCAGCATGAATTCATTTACAAACATTAGACTGTTTCAGCATTTTAAAATCTGAAGAAAAAAATGTTCCCACTGTTTAACAGAGACATTTATAACAGGAAGTTATGTCAGTGATTCCTGCAAATAAAGATAAGAAAAATAGTTGGAGTCAAAGATGATCCAAAAGTAAATCATCTTAGAAATAAATGTATTTGCTCTTTATTTGAGCAGCTGACAGATTGTATGTTCCAGTTAACAATTCTTATTATAGGCCTTAAAATAAGATGAATATATAAACTGTTTTTGGTGCAAATATATTTTTCCACTGCTAGATCATTTTACTTACCTACTTAAATTAAGTGCAAACACATGTGTAAGAAAATTAGTTTTTGTTTAACTTTTGTAGGAATTGTAATTTTATTGCTGAAAAATATAAAATTTAAGTAATTTTTCTTGAAAAAAGTGTTTTTTCTTCAGGTGACCAGGTCAGGCCAGTCAAATAAGATGATTTATGTTAAGACTAAGAAAAAAAACAACTAAATTAGACTAATATCTAATTTTAAGGCAAAAACACTAATTTACCTGCTCAATTAAACAGCAAATACACTGATTTTAAGAATATTTCCTTTATTTTTTAGATCAGTTCTTAAATAAATAAATAAATATTTCTTTTAAAGTCCAAATGCTTAAAGCATAAAATGGGATTTTTAAGTTTTTATTTCCACTTAACATCCAGCTCCAGTGTTCACCTCCTGACCTTTGACCTCACGCTGACCAATGGGAACAGATTTGTTCCTTCGGATCTAACGAGCCCTCGTTCGTTTTCAGCGATTCATCTCCAGGTTTGCTAACAGACTCAGTTTAATCCAAACACAAAAATGTTTCCATCTGGTCTTCATGGCAGAAAAACACCAATCCTTGATCCGTTCCTTCCTTAAACATATCAGCAAACTCACAGGCATCTAAAAAATGTGTCAAACTCGTCTGAAAACAGCTGAGAAAAGCGTTAGAAAATGCTGAGCAGCTGGTTACTATGGTGACGCCCTCTTCCAATGGGATGCCAGCAGAAAACACAGGATTCATTTTTCATCAGACAATGAAACAATAAGTGAAACTTATCTGCAATTTACTGCAAATTTCATAAAATGGAAAAGAAGCACCGGCGCAGACTTCCTGATGTCGTTTTTTTTTTTTTTTTTTGGTTTGATCCACGTCATAAAAATACTCAATGACGCGTCAGAATCCAATCAGTGCGTCAGAGCAGCTGCTTTAAGGTTTATTTATAAAATAATTTACCCAGGAACAAACCTTCTGCTGCTATCTTACCTGGCAACTGTCGGTGCTATAAAAAAACCAAAGCAGGTTTTAGCAGGAAAACAAAACAGGACTTAACTTCTGCAAACTCCAAATATAGACACACCTTTACAGGTTAGGTATCAGTTTATTATTCAGGTTCTTTTTTAATCACCAGGCTGATTCAATCTGAGTTACGTTTCACAGGAAATGCAGAAAGAAACTTTTAGATTTGTTAAATGCTCAGCACTTTCTGTTAGATTTCAGCTCTGGTTGGTTCCTCTGATTGTCCAAAATAAGAAGAATCTAAGTGTGAATAAACAGGAGTTTCTCTGAGGTACCTGAAGCTGTAGAACTGAACCTGGAAGTGGGCATCCGTCGGGGTCCGAGGGCCCGGAGAGAAGCTGAGGATGTGCTCCATGTTGAAGGAGGAGATGGAAACGTTGGATGGTTCCGGGAGGGAAATGCAAACTGCTGCAGAAGGAGGGAGAGAACAGGAGAAAAGTCTTTAAAGATCTACAAAAACTACAGTCTGCTGAGAACCTCCTGCAGCCTGGAGACCTGTTGCACATTCATCTGGGCTTTAAAGGTGGAAAAGCACAGAAAAAAGACAGTAAAAGGTGAACAGATCAGATGAAGCCTCCAGCAGAGACAGCCTGCCTGGGTGAAGCCAGCTGACCTTACCCAGGTGAAGATGCAGGAGAAGCAGCGTGCACAGCCCCATCATCCTCCATAGACGGTCTGCCGGCTCACGGCTGAAGCTCAGAGCAGCCAGAGGAGGTTTTGTTGTTGTGTCAGAGTGGAGAACATATAGAGGGAGGTGATGGGGGGTGGAGGTGCGGGGGCTGGGAAATGAGCTCTGTCATTCAAAGTTTCTGTTTCCTGAGAAGTCCCTCCCTGTGTGTCTGCAGCCTGAACGGACGGTGAGAGGCAGACACCTTTTCTGCAGCTGCAGACAGTCGCACAGTCAGGATCAGTTCTACTTAATCTCAGCTTTAAATCCTCTAATCCAGACTAAAATGTTCCTGATCAGCTGTTCTTCCAGCTCTACACTGCAAAAACCATCTAGAAATAGGTAAAGATTTCTTAAATTAAGTGTATTTACTCTTAATTTCAGTAGGTAAGTAAGATAATTTGCCAATGTAATGAGTATTTTTACTCTTAAAATAAGATAATTAGTTAAAACTCACTTGAAATACGACAATGCAATAGTTTTTTTTCTCATTTTAAATGTAAATGATCTTGTTCCATTGGCAAAGTGTCTCAGGTACCTCCTCAGTTCAGGAAAAAATACACTTATTTTAAGAAAAATTGACTTATTAAGATTTAAATTTTTTGCAGTGTGTGGAGTTTAATCACGTTTTAGTACAGAACCCGACCCTTATCAGAACCAGTCTGTTTAATGAGTCACTGAACATGAAAAAGACTCTTTAACTGAGAGGAAACGCTGTCAGAAAGACAAACACGCAGCTTAATGCAGATCCAGCAGGTAATCAGTGTTTGGACAGAGCTGCTCATTAACTCACCGCTCTGCTACGCTGCAAAAACCATCTAAAGTTTAGTGAAAATGTCTTAAATTAAGTGTATTTACCCTTAATTTGAGCAGATAAATAAGATAATTTGCCAATAGAATTTGTATTTTTTTTTTAAATAAGATAGATATTATCTACTCAAAAAAAAACTCTCTTATTTCAAATGTTAATTATCTTGCTCAATTGGCAAAATCTCAAAATGTCTAATTAAAATAATATAATTAGGTAATGTGCATTTGAAATCAGACAATGCAATTGTTTTTTCTTATTTTAAATGTAAATTGTCTTTTTCCAATTAGCAAAATGTCTCACTTACCTCCTTAATTCAAGAAAAAAAATCTACTCATTTATAAAAAAATGACTTATTGAGATTTACATTTTTTGCAGTGTAAATTATCCATAAACCTTCAACTTTTTCACATTTTTATCACATCAAACAGACGTTTAACTGGGGTTTATTTTAACACATTGGAATAAGAGAGAAAAGTTTCAATAAGAAAAATCTGAAAAGTGTGGCTCCTTCATTTTATTTCTAGAGCTCCTGGAATCTTCAGTCTCGTTAGAGATGCTTCAATCAAACCATCCGGTCGGGTTGGTTCAGAGTTTTTAGTCTAAGGAAAACCAGCTGATTGCTTTAAATTTGCAGGATTCACTCCTCCTGGATGAGCAGGTAGAGACAGTAGATAGTTGCTTTCATTTTATCCTCGACTCTAAAGCAATCTCTCACACTAAGCATGCAGCGACAGTGGAGAGGAAACCTCCAGAAACAACCGGAAGCAGCGCTCAGGGTGAGCGGCCTTCAGCTGAGGCCAGTTGGAGGAAAAAGCAACGAACAAGAGGAAGATAGAAACACTGATCTATAAATACTTTAAATGTCTTGGATCGCTGCAGGATCTAGATCTATGTTTATTAAAGGTAAAGTCCAGTTAGCACTAAATAATTAATGGATCCTTATTTATACCTAAAACTAATACATTCACAGTGGTTTAATTAAATTTAGCGTTAATCAGTAAAGAATAAAAATGATTTTCGTCGCGATCACTGAGTCTGGGAGCGGCCATCTTTGCCTCCCTCCTGCCATCTTCCAGCAGTGACGTCACGGTGCGGTAAGCCTAGCGCCATTCTCCCCGCTTTACAAGCTAAATCAATGGGAACTACTAGACACATCTGCAATCAACAACAATTATTGAAGATTTCCAGAGGACTTCACCATTGAAATTCACCAGAGCTATAGTGAAACTGACAATGCCCACGTGCATGGCAGCTGGATGCTGGAATACATCGGGTAAAAGTGAAAAAAAGAGTTATTCCACCTTTCTGATTCCTGATCCTCCACGGACGGGTTGGTCGTTGGATCGCCAACTTGAAGAGGGAGGATTTGCCATCGAACTTCTGGCCAGAGAAAAAACACGTAATATGTAGCCGACATTTGGAAGAAGAATGTTTTCAAGATGACTTGGATAATAGCGCGTTGTGACAAACACCAGATACAGCACTGGGACTTGATCAACAGCCGATACCGCACCGTGACGTCACTAACCAGTAGGTGGCAGTAGTGTTCTTTGACAAACATGGATGCCTCCAGTAAAGCACATTCACATGAAAATGACTCTGAATTAAAAACACTGATCATTTATTGGACAGGATGGAATCATTTCAGATTTAAAGAAGTTTTAATTCTGAATATGAGCGGACCTTTCCTTTAAAAGCTTTTCTGGAGGTTAAAATTTTTTTTTTTAATCACGCTTAGTCTGATTGGACAGAGAACTTCAATTTACACATTTCAGAAAATAATCTGAATCCAGATGTTATCGGGACTTTGACTGGACCGTTCCCACTCTTGATCGTAGAGCTGAATCACACTTGATCCTGCAGGAAGGCGGAGCTTTTCTAGCCTCGTGAGACCATCCTGATCTCGCGAGCTTTCAAGGTTTCACTCGCAGATCAGTCTGGAGACTCTCCGTTAAAGAAAATTTGGAGCCGTTCACCAAACAAACGTCCAATCAGCGTTGGCTTTGAGGAGGGTTGAGGTGTGGCGCAACGAGAAGCGCGACAGTTCAGTCTAAAGAACATGGCGGCTTCAGCCGATGAAACTAGCGTTAGCGTGGCTATCGAGCAAGTTTTATCGGAATTACAGAGTATTTCTTCACTGCAAGAAGAGCAAAACACTGCTCTGGAGGCTTTTCTCAGAGGAAAAGATGTTTTTGCTCTTCTCCCGACTGGTTTCGGCAAGAGTTTGATCTATCAATTGGCTCCTCTTCGTCGTCGCTCTGTTAGTACGTTATATCCTTTGTTGATCTGATTGGTTCATTTGGCCCGTCTATCACCAACATAGGCCAATCAGCTAACCAGTATTTTCGCCCCTTCCCAAAATTACTTCAACGGGAGGTTTCCAGATGGATATGCGGAGCAAATCCATCTGGCGGAGTCAGGTTAGAGCTTTTCTTCCAGGTCTGTATCACCTTTTTTTAAAGCTCCATTCATCTCCTGATCATCCCTGACCTGCTTCCTAGTCCAAGACGAATTAAACCATCCCACAACCCAATGTAGATTTTCAACATACACTATATTGCCAAAAGTATTTGCTCACCCATCCAAATTATTGGAATCAGGTGTTCCAATCACTTCCATGGCCACAGGTGTATAAATTCAAGCACCTAGGCATGCAGACTGTTTTTACAAACATTTGTGAAAGAATGGGTCGCTCTCAGGAGCTCAGTGAATTCCAGCGTGGAACTGTGATAGGATGCCACCTGTGCAACAAATCCAGTCGTGAAATTTCCTCGCTCCTAAATATTCCACAGTCAACTGTCAGCTGTATTATAAGAAAATGGAAGTGTTTGGGAACGACAGCAACTCAGCCACGAAGTGGTAGGCCACGTAAACTGACGGAGCGGGGTCAGCGGATGCTGAAGCGCATAGTGCGAAGAGGTCGCCAACTTTCTGCAGAGTCAATCACTACAGACCTCCAAACTTCATGTGGCCTTCAGATTAGCTCAAGAACAGTGCGCAGAGAGCTTCATGGAATGGGTTTCCATGGTCGAGCAGCTGCATCCAAGCCATACATCACCAAGTGCAATGCAAAGCGTCGGATGCGGTGGTGTAAAGCACGCCGCCACTGGACTCTAGAGCAGTGGAGACGCGTTCTCTGGAGTGACGAATCGCGCTTCTCCATCTGGCAATCTGATGGACGGGTCTGGGTTTGGCGGTTGCCAGGAGAACGGTACTTGTCTGACTGCATTGTGCCAAGTGTAAAGTTTGGTGGAGGGGGGATTATGGTGTGAGGTTGTTTTTCAGGAGCTGGGCTTGGCCCCTTAGTTCCAGTGAAAGGAACTCTGAATGCTTCAGCATACCAAGACATTTTGGACAATTCCATGCTCCCAACTTTGTGGGAACAGTTTGGAGCTGGCCCCTTCCTCTTCCAACATGACTGTGCACCAGTGCACAAAGCAAGGTCCATAAAGACATGGATGACAGAGTCTGGTGTGGATGAACTTGACTGGCCTGCACAGAGTCCTGACCTCAACCCGATAGAACACCTTTGGGATGAATTAGAGCGGAGACTGAGAGCCAGGCCTTCTCGTCCAACATCAGTGTGCGACCTCACAAATGCGCTTCTGGAAGAATGGTCAAAAATTCCCATAAACACACTCCTAAACCTTGTGGACAGCCTTCCCAGAAGAGTTGAAGCTGTTCTAGCTGCAAAGGGTGGACCGACGTCATATTGAACCCTATGGATTAGGAACGGGATGTCACTTAAGCTCATATGTGAGTCAAGGCAGGTGAGCAAATACTTTTGGCAATATAGTGTATTTCTACATCAAATATTTTAACTTAAATCCTAAATAAATATAAAAGAAACTGTTACACTTTAGAGCTTCAAAAAATAGTTTAACAACAAAGGTCGCAGGCAGCAACAGTTGATTCGTTTCTTGAAGGCATTTCCGACTTCACTGTTTGAAAAATATACACTGGTCATTTACTCCCAGCAAAAATACAAAAAATGCAAAAAAAAACCAACAAAAAAATCTTATTTATTCTGTAATAGGTTCAAAAAATGATAAAAATAATCCATAAGCATCTCCATCGCTTCCCTATCAATTTTCCTTCACCATTAAATTCATGAGATCGTCTAAAAGTTCAACTAATGTAAACAATTCTAAAAATGAAAAACTAATTTAAGTATAATTTAACCGTATTAGAAGGAAGTACGACTTACTAAATTTTGACAAATGGCCACAACAGCTTCTTAGATTGAGGAGCTTTTATTGGTGAGAACTCAACAGAAAGACTGAATCCTGATAGATGTACGCACACTGTAAAAAAATGAAAT